TGGCACATTTCATCGAGTGATGATTCGCCGGGAGAGATATCATACATGTGCAATAGGCTCAAATAATACCTGTCATTTGACAGGATATTTTTCTCAGTATGCCATTAGTTGTTAAATCCTATTCGCCTGTCTCGTGCACTGACCTAGAAATGTAGTTTTTGAAACCTGATATGAACAGGCTTCTTAGTTGAATTAATGAAGACATTTACATGAGAAAACTTGATAGACTTTGCTAAAATAATATCTCAAGGAAAGTGATGATGGATTGGCAAGCAACGAGGTTCGCATCCTGAAACTTACAGCTAGAATCCACTATGCACACCTGTTGGTTAACATTTCAAAGGTTCTCATAACCCGTCTTCAAGTTATATGTCCTGATCGGCCATTGCTAAATAAGGAAGGTTCCCTTCAAGGTTTTTGCATGCATGGTTAAACCCATGTTTGATCTGTACTGTCCAACTAAATTACGGAGTTCTCCTGTAATCTCTAAATGGATTGCTTCAATTTACATATTCAGATTATATATAAAGTATGTGATTCTATGAAATGACCTCTGTGATGCTATTATTGTATTAAACTCAATCTAGAAGATTAAGGAAGACAACTACTAGTTGTCACCACCTAGCCGTCAGCTATATGCCGCCAGTTACCTTCACACTTGAAGTTTCATTTTTTATTATTTTTAATTTGTGTATGAATAGACAGCTAAGTTTATACAATTATGTATAGAGAGAAATAAAGTAAAAAATGGCGTGTATTGAGTTTTTGTTTAATTAATTGTAAGCTTTTGTTCTTGAAATAAAACAATGTGTTTGATCTCCTTTGAGTTTTTCAAAACCACCACCAGTGCTTTCTCCCATCAACAATTGGTATTAGAGCACCGTTCGTCCGAAAATATAAGAGGTTTTGAGATATATCCGATTTTTCACATTTGTCAAAAACAATTTTTGATCATTCCATATTGTAGGGATCATTTATACAAACTCACTAGTGTAAAAATCAGCTTCATCAGAGAAGGAGGTAGCCCATACGTGCTGCCTAAAAGTCCAGAACTATAGCCTACGCGCAGCCGACGCGCCTAGAGGTAGACGACGATTGGAGTCCACGCGCGTCATATATTGAGCCGTATAAGCCGCCTTCTAAGCCGAGTCATAAGCTGCGCTGAAGAATATTCTCAGTTCAACCCCAGTGAACTGCCCGACGTACATAATTGGTTTTTTGACCAGTTCACCCTAATTTTGACCTATTTTCAACAAAGTCAGATTGATTCCCTACTTTTTTGAGCATTTTGGATGTATCTACAGTGTTTGTTTTGCCAAATTCAACTCATAAAAGGTGATATAGTCATTCAAAGAGAAAAATGACTACAGGAAATGCATAAACACTCATCCCGAAGCTAATCAAAGAAAACTATGATAGTTGGTGTATCATATTGAAGGCATTTCGTGGTTCACAAGAGTGTATAAAGATTGTGCAATATGGTTATGATGAACCAGAGTCCAAAGAAGCAGAAGATGCTTTACAAGAGGCACAAAAACAAGTTCTCAAAGCCAAAAGAAAGAAAGACAACAAAGTAAAGACCATCATCTATCAAGGTTTTGATGAAGCCATATTCAAGATTATTGCTTTCGCAGAAACATTAAAAGAGATATGGGAGGCTTTCCAATAAAAATACAAAGGTGCTGACAGAATCAAGAAGATTCGTCTCCAGTTTTTGCGAGGTGAATTTGAATTATTACAAATGAAGCCCTTAGAATCTATTTCTAATTATCACACAAGAATTATGGTGATAGTTAATCAGATGAGAAGAAATGGAGAAGCCCTCACAGATGCTCAGATTACTGAGAAAATTTTGAGATGCCTAGATCCAAAATTTGATTTTGTTATTGTTGCTATTGAAGAGTCCAAAGAAGTGGACACATTGACATTTGATAAACTTATGAGTTCTTTGCAAGCTTATATGCAAAAGATTATAAAAAGAAATGAAAATAAGGTAATTGAGCATGCCTTACAAGCAAAGTTGCCTCTCAAAGACTGATATGAGTAAGGGGAGACTTTAACAAGTGGATATACCACTCAAGGAAGAAGTCAATAAACACGAGGAGGATTTCAGCAATTTCAAGGAAAAGGTTATTGGAATACAGGTTTTGGATGAAGAGGTGGTAAAAACACCACTAGAGGAGGTCGAGGACAATAAGCATTCACTCTTAGAGGAAGAGGAGACGGTTCCAATAACCGTGACAAGAGGAATATCCAGTGTTATAATTGCAATCAATTTGGGCACTATAACATTAAATGTCAAAGGAACGCTCCATTAGAGGTATGTGAGTAAGCCAACTATATAGAGGAGGATGCCAACAGCAGAGGAGCAGTTGCATTATTTGTCCAATAAGGACTTGGTAAGAATTAAAAGAATATTTGGTATCTAGATTCTAGAGCCAGCAATCACATGTGTGGTCAATAAGATCTATTTGGTGATATAGATAAGACCATACAAGGTCTAGTCACTTTTGGAGATACCTCAAAAGTTTCATTCAAAGGTAAAGGCAACATCCCAATCAAGTTGAAGAATGACGATCATAGCTACATCGTC